TTACGTTTTTTTAAGATATGCTCGTGTCATTTTGACAACTCATGCAGTGGGTGTCAGGAAATGAGTGTCAGGGAATGAGTGTCTGATGCATCAGCAGGAGTAACTAACTAGCTGCTTATCACTGCTTTCAAATCATGTTTTCATAGATTAATTGACTTTGACAGATGTCATCTTACTCTTCATTTGAGTACATTCCAGATTTATCTTACAAATTGGCCCAATTTGCATATAGGGTGCAATCAAGAAAACCTATTTCTGAGTACCTTTCTTAAACATATGACATGCGTCATTTCTAATTTTGATAATTTAAATTCAGTTTTTACAACATTGTGTTTATCGATAATGATTCATAATATAAATTTTAATAAAGGTCTTGGCAAGATTGTTGTTATTCTGGAATTCATTTGCTTGCCATATCAGAAAAAGTGACTCCTTGATGTACCTTGACAAGATGAAGACATGGGTTATATGTTATTTCACTGTTAAGAATTAACAAGTGTTTGGTTAGAGTCATGTATTTCTTGAAGACATTTTAAAGAATAGTTTTTGGTTTGAATTCGATAGCTTCGTTGCTGGGAGATTTTTTGGGTTTTATATTAGAAATTAGAATAAGAAAGTCTGTCTAAAGTGAAAAGACTTTCTGGTAACTGGAGAACTGCAAAATTGTGAAATTGTAAGTGATGATAAAAATAAGGAGAATAAAAGTCAAGCATTTACTGGAAGGTGGGAATTTTATTCAGATTGTTATTTTTGAGAAGTCTGCATATAATATCAGCATATAACCAAGACTGGATAAAGAAAGCCTTTAAAAAATTTATTCTTATATACTTTCAGTTAAGAGAAGTAGCTTTTGGCAGTCATGCATGCATCTGTAACAACACTTGAAGCCAGCTGTGGAGCAAGTACCCTACTGGTACTTTCATGAAGAGAACTTGAGGTGGGGCATGCGCTGCCAGTGGCAGACTGATTTGGCCTGGATGATCCTTTCCCGTCTTTCCAGTAACATTATGTGACTTGATCAGGGAGGCAGTTTTGCAAGACATGAATTGAAGTGCTAGGAATGAGTGTGAGGAGCTACCAAACCTTCAGAGTAGTTGTGACCTCCCAGCTCACTTACTGTGTAGATCCATCCTTTCAGAAATTGTCAGGAAAAATCAGGAAGTATTGAACATGACATTGATGGCTTTAAGACTGATGAACAGATTCACTGCAAACCACTGAGATCTCTTGTACAAGTCAGTAATAAATAATTTCGAATGTTAGATATTGAATTTTATTAAGATGTTATTTTGTCGCTTTAGGAATATAAGTATTTAATTCTCATAGGAATATTATAATATTTCTGTGTGTAAATTTTGTTTACACTGAACAGTGATAAATATGTTGAGGCACGTGGATCTTTGGAACATGAACATGAATAGCTTGTCTGTATATAAAATAACATACATACACATAGTGCTTGTCTGTATACGTAACAAGGCCATATTATCAGTGATTTGATATGACAGTTGTTAGATTTATGACCTAAAGAGAAATTTTAGCATTTCCTCACCATAATGGAAGTATAGATGCAAATTTATTACATACCCTAGATTATTAGTGGACTGCAAATTTCACTGAGTTTTCTTATTAAAAGCCAAGTTTGATATTTGGAAAAAAATCTTACATTAATACACCTTCTCAAGAAAAAAATATTTTTTACCATATGTTCCAGAAAAAACTAAAAATATGCCAACAAGCTAATGATATTTGTGCCAAATTGAATTAAAAAAATCTGAGTCAGTTATTCTACTTTGCTATTGAATTGTTATTAATTATTAATGTAGCAGGCCAGCTGGCAACGAAATATGAAGTTTTCATCAAAGTATGTGAAATTATGAAATTTACTTGCATTTTCAGGAGAATTTCACAATATAATGAAATAATACACATTTTTCAAATTCCTAAGGGAAGATGTTCTATATAGTTTTATATATTAATCTAATGAACAATACTATAGATTAATTCTCAAGAAGGATGATGGCAACTCTTAAGCCACAGTGCTGCCATTCAGCATGTATAGTATAAAGGTTTTTTAGAAAAATTGTTTTGAGTTTCATTCTTTACTTTATTGCATCCTATATTGTTGCTATTGTGTCTAAAAAATTTCGCATTTCCTCGAAGTGTATGGATTAAATCTACAGAAGGGGAAATAAGAAATATAGTCTTTCTCAGCAGATAGTGCCTTAGTGCTTTTGCTTTATATATTTGACTGCATGTCTCCACCTTCACTGCATGTGACCATCTCTCTGTTTCTGCTCATTCTGTCCAAATTCATATCCATGTTTCCAAAATTTGTGAAGAACAAGGACGCTGGAGTCTTGCATTCCAAAACAGGACAGTGTAGACCACCTAAGTGCTAAACCTGGAGCAGCACAGAGGTATCCTTATTTACTCAAATCATAGTTCCAAGTAAATGAGTTGTTTTACCTTTTTATATATAAGTACATATATGCATGTACTGTTCATAGATAATATTTAATTTCCTATAAAGTTCATTTAAGAGGTAAATTTGAGTATGACATGAGTGTTCTTATGCCCAGTGCACTCTTCATACATTGTATATGGGCATGAAAGGATGCCTACCTGTAAATATGTACCTGCCAATGCCCACAGTGTACTCAAGCTGAGCCAGGACTGCGAGTACTGTGACAGGCTGTTGAGCTATATGAAATTGTATGCAGCTTCATCTTAGCAAGAGGAAGGAAAGAGAAAGGAAATTATGATTTTAAACATATTTCTGATGCATGCTGCTTACAAGGACATCAGAGAGAGCAGAGAAATAGGCATATTCAGCTCACTAGGACTATATATTACTTTGACACTTTTCACAGGAAAGCATTTCCTGCTCTCAGCTTGTCCATCCTACAAAGAGTAGTCACTATGCGCTCTTTTTCTCCATTGCAAGTAATGTCACAGTCTAAGAAAGCCACATAAGGAGTAAGAGAAAAATAAGCCTCATAACCAACCAAACAGAAAATGAAGAGGGCGATATCGTTGGAGTGATAAGGCTGCTGCGTTCAGTGGATCTAACCATAGCTTTAAATACTTTGCCAACCTTAGATTTTAAGTAAAACTGCAGCATTTAATACATGTTTCCCCATGTATCCACCTTGTATTTGTCCTGATAACGAAAAAAGTTAAAAAGAATGAGAATATAAAAAAAATAAATCTAGAGAAAATAGGTTGAGGACAAAGGGGATTTTAATTCTTAATCCAAAATTATATACTTTGGTAAGAATGCATATTATTTTAAAAGCCAGAAGTCTCATGCAAAAAGAATTTTGTATTTTTCTGCAGTGTTTTCTTTGCTTTGGAACATACTGCATCACAATATAATGCTCATCAAACGTTGTATTGGGTACGAATCGTGAAAATCTACTGTGATTATATTCTTTGGGTATAATTTAGTGTTACAGCTGTTTAGGTATCTTCCAGTTCAGACACTGGATTACTTTTTATAACCACAAAGGCTTAAAAGGAAAATATTTTTTTTGAAATAATAATTTTATCTATTTGTTTTGACCACAGTAATTTTTTTATAGCTTAAGGTATGATATTGATTATTTTGTTGCAAGTTTCTGTATGTGTTTCTTGCACTGGTATAAAATGCAAATTAGGGTTTGTCAACGTTTCTGGTCTGTCAATGAGTAATCCTCATTCCCTGTTTTTGACCACACCTGAAATACTGTATGCACTTTTTATTCTAAAAACCTAATATATACTGATGTTTATCAGAGGTTTAAAATTGTAAATCCTAATTTGTAAATGCTCATATTACTATAGATAGTAGTGGAAATTTTGGAACACACAAGACTTGCAGAGATTTTCACAGTATATTTCATAGATTTCATAGATTTTCTAGGTTGGAAAAGACCTTAGAGATCATCCAGTCCAACCGTCCCTAATCTCCCATTAAACCATGTCCCTAAGTAGTTCATCCACCCTTTTTTTAAACATGTCCAGGGATGGGGACTCCACCACCTCCCTGGGCAGCCTATTTCAGTGGCTGACAACCCTTTCAGAGAAGAAATTCTTTCTAACATCCAACCTGAATCTCCCCTGACTAAGCTTATACCCATTTCCTCTTGTTCTGTCACCCATCACTAATGTAAAGAGCCCTTCCCCTACCTCCCCACCATCCCTTCTCAAGTATTTGTAGTCCTGGGTCATAATGGTGAAACATGTTTTACCTTTGCTCTTACATTTATTGACTCATATTACTGTTCATTGTTCTTATTTACTAGCAAAGTAAATGCTTTGATTATCAGAAGTAACTAGCGCCTCATTATGCACATGCCAGATCAATGCTATAAAAGATTTATGTGGGAAAGGAGTAAAGGAATGAAATAAACTTCTAACTTACTGATATTGAAAAAAAAAAGGATTATTTTAAACTGTTTCTCAAAAACATTAAGAAGCTTTAATCAATGTGTTTCTTGAAAAGCCATATTTTTATTAATATAATGACAACATTATTTAAATCTGATATGGTACAGTATTTATTTTGCTTTTGAAATATAGATTTAAAAGCAAGTTTACATTTGAATAGTATTTTCTGGTCCTTTCTGAAACATTTTTTTCCTGCTATCTACTCTGCATTTATTTTTCATGCTGTCAAGAGCGGACTAAAAGACCTATGAGGAGGCATTGTTTATAATCAAATACAGACTGTGAAGAGGGAACTAGCAGTACATTCAGTCAGGACTAATATTATGTTATCTCATCTCCCCTGGTTTAGTACCTCATAACTTTCACACCATCAGCTTCAATCAAACCTAATCGAGGCCATGTGTCTTAAACCTCAAGTTCACCAGCTTGTTCATGAAGATAGTTGTCACTTTTCATCTGTCAACCATTTCTGTTATTACCTTTACAATACATTAATAAATATATAATCTTCATATTTTTGTATTCTTTTTCTTCTTTGTTTATTTCTTTTCTGACATGTCATTTCACAGGCAGTCCAGAAAAGTGGAAAGATATAGCAGCCAAAAACAAGCTAGGAAAGGCTCCGCAACTGAAACAGAAAGGTAGGATTGCTGATCAATGGGTAAACATCTTTTATAATCAATCTGATTCCAGTTTTTGGACTATTCCTCTAATACAACTTTTAAAGTAGAACATCTGTGACAGTACCAAAAGCTATGTTGTAATTTACAGTATTCTTTACTTTGTATCTATGTTATTAGCACTGCTTGCTGTGTTGCATACATCTAGAATTTTTCTGGCATTCTCCATCATTGCAGATAAACTGAATGGTAAAGACTAGCAGTCCATCCATTTTATGAGTGGAAATCTGAGACCCATTGCCACTATCTTGATCTCTGTAAGATGAAATTTTGAAATGTGTTGCATATGTCATTAGTATGGGACCGAACCTTTTCTGTGCTTTACCACTGATCTTTTTTCAAAAAATCTCATCTATTTTACAATAGCTTTTGAGGATGAAAAAATATATTAACAGATTAATAATTCAAGAGGCCTCTGATCAAATTAATTTCAATGTATATCTATTGTTACATAAAGTTGATGTAAGTATTGGGACTTTAACCTTTGTATTCGTTGAATTTTCCTGTACTTGTATTATCATTGTAACTTTTAGCTTTGATGCTACAGATGGGGTTATATATTAAAATTCTTAAGAAAAAGTGAAAAAAGTAAAGATATGTCCTAAACTATAAGCATATCTAGCTAAGTTTTAAACGCTGTGTATTGGCTGGAAGAAGAGCAGTGAGGAGGGGTGAGATCCTGCCTTTGTCAGAAACAAATTTATGTTATCTTGATTGGCAGAGGAGCAATGTACATCTGTTTACATTGTGAAGATTGAAAAACTTTAATGAACAACAGAGACATTTTTATTTTCAATGAAAATGCATATTATGTAGCAAAACTTCAGAGCTTTTGTTTTACTGCTTCAAGTCCCAGATTATTGTTCCTGATCTAAAAACAATGGTTACATTTTTCTGGATCTTGATGATTCTGTTGTTTTTTCAGTTTAGACCAGAGAAATCACCTAAATGATGGCTGAAATCCTTGCTATGTTTAAACTAGGGACAGTTTTGCTATTTTTTCCCATTTTTTCCTAACTTCTCAAGAGTAAGGGAAGCCACTGGGACTGAGGTCCAAGGGGCTCTCAGTTCTTGAAAACCATTCAGTTTATATGATTAGAAGTCTTAGCATGAAACTGAGCAGGAAAGTAAGGTGGGAGAGAGAAACGAAGTAAATGAGAGGGGAAAAAATGAGAACATAAACATAACTAGAAAGTATGGCAACAGAAAGGATAAGGAAGGAAAAGAAAGTATAAGAGATTCTGATGGCAAAAGGGCACAGCAGAGAGTGAGAGACACTGGCAGAGTACAAAAGGAAATCCCGCAGCACTTGCAATTGGACAAATCAGTGTATCAGTATATGCGTTTACATTTCAAACCTGATATTTCAGTGTATGAACTGGAGGCATCTTCTGCAGGTGTTAAGATCACTGCATAGAACAAAGACATATACCTTAGTAAATCCTTTTTACACTACTTAGTGTTTTACACTAATCTCAATGTATGGGAGGTGCAAATCATAATCTCGAAATACCTAAAATTTCAGATATTGCAGATGATATATGAACTGATTTGGAGGGACTGTGATTATGAGGGATTATGCTGAATGCATCAGTAGCACATGGGCTCCATCTCTACGGATAAGCATGTAGATATATTTATGAAGAAAAGGCCTTTTTGAGGCTTGCACAACACGTTCCTCAGCTTGAAATCACCAGCTCAGGTCTGAAATTTTGAGATTTTTTTTTCCTGGGCATTTCAAATTTTCTCATAATTATAATGTATTGTTGAGGATTTATTCATGTGTATAAGAAAGGGTGAGTCTGGAGGCTACTGTGAAATATTGCTACATTGTCTATATACAGAATTTTTGTGGAATTTAGTGGATTGAAAGTTAATACTTTAGTCATCATTATGCTAAAGATAAATTTGACATTGATACGTTCCCAGATATTGATTATAGTCATTACCTAGTGCTAGTGTTTGGGGCAGGAGGGGAGAGTGTTGTTGGTTTTGGGATTTTGGAGGGGTTTTGTCTGGTTTTGTGTGTTTTTTAAAGCAATGTGAAATTGCTTTTCGCAGGTGATTAGGAAAACTAAAAAGAAAAAAAAATAATCTAGTGGGGTTTTTTCCACCTGAAGTTAAACAAAATTACCAGAAATATGAGTCCTCATGGCTACATTTTTACTTTCTAGAAGAGAAAAGCAAGCTCTGATTTCTAATGATGGTGAGAGCAATTAACCCAGTGCAACAAGAGCATAGGGAAACATGAATCGTGCTGCTTCTTTTTACATCTCCATGGCACATGGTGTAGGCTTCTGTTTCCATAAAATGATTCACTGCTATTAGGTGTGAGACACAAACGTCTAAATAAGTCTGAATGCTGTAGTTGAGTATGTCATCATAATGTTGCATTAGTGCCAGAAAGTTTTGGTAATAGGACAAGCAATTAATTTTCTTCTCAAATGTCAAATATAACTCAAGACTATTTCTTCCTCAGCTATCAATTTCTGTCTTAGATTTGGTCTTTATTTTGCAATTTGCAGATCTTATCTGCTATTAGCTAAGCAGATTACTGGAATAAGATACCAGCATGCTATCAGCTTCTCCATAAAGCCTTTCAACATGCTACGTAAGATTAAGTTCTCCATTTATTGTGATAACTTAGGAAATGTACATAAAAGGGGAAAAGCAAACCTTTTCTGGATAGTTTACAGAGCCTAAGAATTCTCTTAATTCGGTGAGATAAGCCTTCAAGATGGGGTTTAGTAAGCTCTTCTGAAGGAGTAAAACTGATTACACAAAAATCAAGTGTTTTCTTGTATTAATGAGCAAAACTGTGGTAAAAATTGATTCATCCCAGTCCTAAAATGTTTTCTTTCAGCCCTAACTGATCACCCAATAAATGCCAGATTTTAGGTTTCCTGTCATGTATGTTACGATACATACAATTTTTAACTGTATTTGCTATATTCTACCCTGTGCCAGGGGTGCACTGAATTGGCAATGGTCTCTTATTCTTAGTTTTTCTTTATAGTTCCATAAGTGGCAACATATTTCATTTAGTAAGTGCCACTGAGACATCGATCTGAAGAGAAAGGAATTTGAGTTTTCTTGTGTGTAGGCAGAGCTGGAACCTGTAGGATTCCTCTGTAGACCATGGCCAATTGAATGAATAAGCTTGCTGCTTGCAGTGTTACCTTCCTCTGTAAGGATCCAGGAGATGAGACACACACATATATGCTCGTTGTAGTCTCATTGCTCACCAGGTGTCGTTTCTCTCCCAAATTCCTCTCTTCTCCATACTTCTTATTTCACTTATGTCTCGTTGCCTCAAGTCATACAGTAGCTTTTGTTTCCCATGCTTGTTCCTTTTTGTCTCATTCTGCTGTTCAGCCATTTGCAGACTTCGTTTCAGCAACTGATCTTTCTCCTAGGCCAGCAATTCCTTACTTCCATTCTGATTTTTCTCCAGTTCTCTTTTAGCTGTATTTTCATTTGCACCCTAAGTAGCATATTCATCTCAAGTTAATAACCTGCCTAATGCAAGTCTTTCGCCTAATCTGTCTTCTTTTGAGTTAAGCAGATCCTCTGCCTTTCTCTTGTGGAAAGGGGCAGATCTGTTAACAGGGTATTACTGAGAGAACAGGAGGTAAGTTTTTAAGTCTCTGATAAAGTGTCTGTTCTGTAATTGGCAGGACAGACTCTCCTAGTGCTTCACTGGGCTCTCGAATAAATTCCAGAATATTTCCTCTAATATGAGAAAGGTCAGAACTGAGAACACGATGACTTTGTTAAGACTGGAGCATTCATTCAGAGTAAAAGCAAGCAAGCGCTTTTTGGCACAGAGTGGGATCTGTACTTACCTTATGTACGTTATGATGTCTAAACATCTGATAGATGCTTAAAAGCTGGTTGCATGCTATAGTTGGCATGGATTACTTTTACAGTCAGCATGGAGAAACAGGCATTTTCAGAACTCAGCTCATCTTTGTTATTGTGAGCATCTCTTAGAATCAGGGGAATCAGTCTCTGCAAGAACATTACAGTTATCAGCAGGGCAAGCCAGGAGTTAAGCTAAAGAAGCATTAGGCTTTAAGAGAGAGAATACAGCAAGGGCAACAGAATCCTGGTTTTGTTGCATTGTGACTGGACTTCCACATGAACTCTTTCTGATTAAATAGCTTTGAAACCAAACCTGTTTGTTATCCTTGGGAAGCATCTGCGAGTTATCTCATATATACTTCTTTCTTAGATGACTTTTCAGTATATGATAGTTATATGAACTAGACAGTCCCTTGGTTACTTTGATTGTATCTTGTTGGAAAGTTGTGTTGGGTGTGTGCAGGGAGACTTCATAAGTCTGCAGAAATTTAAGAAAACCAAACAACCAAACCAAAAAACCATAATTAAATGAAGTGACAGGAAATGGAAATTTTTGAAATAACAACAGATATAGTAGTACCATCTACAAAATGCTTCACTGTTGGGAAACCAAGGCAGAGTAAAAAGGCACAATTAGAATACTTTGTCACTCTCCAAACTTGAAATGTTTCAGGTTATCTTATACTTGCAGTGTATGCAATTATTAAACTACTAATAATTACACGTTATTATACTAACATGATTAATCATTTACTGCATATTTTAATTGTATTTTCATTAGAGTTCCTTCAGAACTGTGTTTCTGTTTTAGAGCTTATAGCAGAAAGATACTTAAATAGATTCCATATTTCACACTCCTAAGACAAGAGAATTACATATGTGCTTACATATTGTACTTTTTTAGGACGCTAATTGAAATCCAGTTAATATTTTTAATAAAGATTGAAGGTATGTTTTAGAAACAGAAATGCTTTGTGGTAAAACTAAGTATTCATAGCCTGCTCTGTGCTAGTACTTGTGTCATACATGTCGTTAGCTTGTGTTTGCTGTGTTTAAGATTCAGCTAGAGTTTTTGGCCAGCTGTCCACTATATGCAGTGCAGTTCAACAATTCCACAGTTAGGGTCATGTGTATCTGCAGTGGTGAGCATTCTGCAGTTTGTTATTTTGAAAATGGATTTGCATTCAGATTTAATAACATCAGTCTGAAATGTCAGCCCTGGTCCTGCAGCCAGGATTTGCAATGTTCTTTGGTGGAGGGGGGCATGGGAAGGTGTGCCTGGAGCTAACAACTGAACAGTTTCTTTTTGGCCCTGATGTTTTAGGGGTCTGCTACCATGTCTTTCTAGAAGGGGACTTCCAACCCCACGAACAACTGAACAGCCAGTCATTAGGGGAAAACATCACACTCGCTCAAGGTTGAGTGAGCACTCTAGTATCAGACCCTTATGCTCTGTACATCACCTAGCGCCCGGAGGGTCGGCACCACCTTCTCCACTTCTGACAAGGTCGCTATTACATGTACAGCACAGCTTTCATGTTCTGCCTCCCAGGTGTCAGTGTGGTGGTGTACTTTCCTGAGTATACGTGGCACGTTCACTCATTCTGGCACTGTAGATTATCCTCTCTTCATGGTATTTATACTTCTCCCATATCCTTTACGCCACCTATCTTCACCATCCAGATGGTACTTCTTGCTATTGAACTTGAATAATTATGCAATGTAAGAGTGAAAAATTGGCTGTGTTTCGTCCTTCCATTGTTGTGTTTTGTTCTGTATCCATATGAAAATTATCAAAGTATTTTGCTTAAACACTGCAGGAAATCACGTGCTGTTCACAAAGCTACCTCTCATCTTACAGGCTAAGAGAAAGTCAGTTGGTCTACGTAGTGTAAAAGCCAACGGTATTTTGAACTTGCACAAGTGTGTTACTTAAAATTGCAAGTTATCTAATTGCAACCTTAGTGTAGTAGATAAGCAGTGCTTATCCGCTATAGTGAGTGTGATATTACTGTAACTGGCAAGGGCATTGAAGAGTAAGCTCTCCCTCTCAGTGGTCTGCCTCTTCTCATTTTCGTTTTACTCTCTTAAACTTTTTCCCTAGTTATTAGAAGTGGCCTTAATTATTTTAAATGCAAACTTACCAGTGTTCCAAAGGTGTTTGATGTGTTACAGTCAGATGTTGTATCTGTGTATAAGAAATCAAGTAGCCAAGGTGCTCTGAAATAGTGCTAGCTAGAATTCAGCCAAAGGGGTTTAGGATATCTCCTTAGGTAAGAATATTAAAAATCTTGTACATTCTTCGCACGCACACATACACTCCCTGCACCCCAATACCAAAGGTAAAGGTCTTTTTCTTACTTTGAGTTCAGGGAAGAACATGTTATCTATCCCACACCCCAATACCAAAGGTAAAGGTCTTTTTCTTACTTTGAGTTCAGGGAAAAACATGTTATCTATCCCATGGGAGTAGATACTTGCTTCCAGTTCTCTGTGCCCTTGTGCAATTATTGCATCAGCAGAAAGGGAACACAAAAGTTAATAAAATATAGAGGTGGCATTTTTTGTTTCCCTTGTACCAGTGCAGGAGAACATACATAATTTGTGAGTCATAATCATAAATGGTTCTTAGAAAACTGCTTTATTTCAGTTGCTTTTGACTAGTACTTTATCAAAAAAAAAAAAAACAAAACCAAAAAACAACGAAACAAAGGAAAATATTTTTCCTTAGTTAAAGGTAGTTAGAGAAATTAAATGTGAGACCTTATAAGTTAACTAGGTATCCAGACCTGAGTATGTGCAAATGGCATACATCAAATGCAGACTTCTTCAAACCCATCTTAGAATCATAGAATCATAGAATCATAGAATCATAGAATGGTTAGGGCTGGAAGGGACCTTCAAAGGTCATCTTCAGTATATGCAACTTAATACGTGTTTAAAATTCAGAATATAAAAATTATCTTCATTTGAGTTATTTTATTTTTCTCTTAATTTCATTTACAGAATACATCAACAAGGAAGTCCCACACAGTCTCCTCCTGCAGACACATCCTTCAGCAGTCGCAGGGGAAGACAGCTACCGCAAGTTCCAATACGAAGTGGCAGTATAGAGCAAGGTATCAAATAATGAGCTTATGATAGCTCAAACTCTTTGATTTCTTACTTTTACTTAAAGTCTACTTTCATAACTATGTGTTCAATGCTATAATTCTACCAATAAAGCAATAGAAGAGAATGAAAGTATATTTGTAATCTGGGAAATCTGGTAGAGTTTGACTGGTGGATTATTAAATGTTTTAATTGCCTTAAGTTTCTAGTACCCTTTTATGTTTGTCTACTTCAAAATTTCTATCAGAGTCGTGGTAGTTTCCAACACATATCTAGTTTGTATTTAGCTAAAGAAATCAGGGGCAAAGATTTTGACAACATTTTGATAGTCTTAACTATTTCTTACTTTGTGGTTTATATTAATTGTTGTGCATTGTTAACATAGATTAATAAAAACATCACAAATCTGGTTTTCTTCTGGAGTTCATAGTTCGGTGATTAAAGAATGAAAATAGTCACAATGGGAAATATGAAAGCATAGGTCATCAGCTCTTTCTTAAGAATAAACTCAGACAAAGAGTGCTGCTCTTTTCTGAAAAAGATAATGTAGACTTAGTCGTTGTGGAAGAAGTTTTTTACATACTGAAATCAAATAAGCATGCATATTGCTGTTTCCTTTTCTAGCAACATACTGCACACAGAGTGTGAGCTATTATGGCAGAATAAAATGGATAACATTTGCACATTCGGGTTTTCTTCTGTGCTTAAAAAGCCTATTTTCTCATTGACTACAAACAACAACTGACATTGCCGTGTACTGCAAGGTTTTCTTCTGCGTGGAAATTAAAGAAATGCTTCTAATGGTGAAATATTGTACTGCTTTATAGAACTGTTAGCAGACCGCTTTCTTTAATAGATACTGTTGTTGACCATGACCTTCTTATCACAATAGATTGCTGCAGGGATTTTTTTGGTATGATGGCTTACATTAATGTGCAATCAGCTTACATTAATTTTATGGCTTTGAGCTGTGATGGCATACTACACCTTCAACTGACACGTATGAAAATGTATTCTTGTTTTCTGCATGTTTATTCTGAATTATTAATATACTAATGCAAGTGAGTTTTATTAATTTTAAACTTTACATTCGAGTCTTCTCATTTTGTTTTGCAGTGAATCTAGCAATGTCTGGATTATAAACTAGTTACAAACAACATTTACAACTTCTATTTCTGCATATTAGTGAATTGAGAGCTTTTTAGGGAAATGTAATAGGTAATGAATTTCAAATTTCGTTCATGGTTCTTCTGCAGTTTCAGAACTTAGTACAATATATAATAATGAATCAGCTTTTAATTTAATTTTAAGTTGGCTTTCCTTTGGATATTCATCTTTCTGCTGTTCTTGATAACTGGCTTGTTGAGAATAAAATACTAGTTTATGTCTTGTTAAAGACATTGGAAATGAATGTAAAGCCTACTGTGAAAATAAGTAGAGATGGGATGTATACAGAAGAGGAAAGAAAAAACAAAAGTTGAGCGGAAGGCAAAAGCTGCTCTAGGTTTAGGAAGTTGTTTACACTGTGAACATCTGTAAAGTAATGCTATTTCACTGAACTCTTATTTACACTTGTGTTTGATATGCTTGCGTCTTATGTATAATATGTACAAGTAGGATGCGACATATCGTTTACTTCATTGTTATATATCATGCCGCCTACGTCAATATAGCTGTACTACGGCACATGGAGATGAAGGCTAAAGAGATTTCCTTCTCTATGTAGTACTATGGTTTTGTCTGAGTGACTGGCTTGTCCTTTTGAACGGGAGGTTTTCTGGTTTTACCCATGTTTAACACTTTGTTCAAGCTGAGAATATATTTTTACAGAGAAGTACTAAATGGAATAGATTTTATAAATTATTTTTAAGTGGTTTTGTCAGTATCTTCTGAAGTGAATATGATAGTATGTATAAGCTTTATACTACTGTAAGAAATTAAATACAGTGAGGCTCTAAGACCATAGTATTTGCTCTGAATTACAGTTTAAAATTTAAACATCAGTTTCACCTCTTTAATCTCTTTCAAATGAGTGTCAGGGTCAAGCGGAGTGACCTGAAGTGATCTGACCCTAATGTAGGATTGAATCCAAAGCATGCCGAGATCTGTAAAAGATTTCCATTAGCTGTACTTGGAACTGAATTGTGTCCTTAATGATTTAAATTCACAGTGACCATGGGTTTGGGTGATGACGAAATCTAGTGCAATATACAAATGTTATAGGGAGCATTTCAAATTTCTTTGCATTTTCTTCATTTATAAATAAAGCTATTTCTTGGTGGTCAGTACTGACATCCTGCGTTTCAAGGAAATCCTGTATGATAGACCGTAAGGTATCATTTCTCTAGTAAAGTACTTCTTTACACTCTATACGAATTCTGTTGTGTCACGAGAGTTGAATACACATCTAAATATATACATCTGTGAATCTATGTCTGTTTTACAAATCCCAGTAATTGCTGTAAAAAGACTGAATGTCTGTGTATCAAGAGTGGGGTTTTTATTTGTTGTTTGCATATTCAAGAGGCATAGAAGAATTCGATAAGGTAATTTTATTACTCTTTAAAGCCTTCATTATGGAACACAAGAGAGTTAATGAAAGAACAAGAGACTGGTAGTGGTTTTCATCTCGAGAAACAGAGTGATATTTTAACTCTTAATCTTGGATGAGAATTTCACTCTCGATCTTTAATCTTTAGCTCTCAGTTGTAAATGATCATATCCATGCTAATAAGGCTTCTGCTAGGACTGACATTGCATCTCGGACATTCCATTTTGTCATTGTCAAGTTTAGAACTAAAAAAATGGTTGTTTCCTTATCTCTACCAGATGATGCTATTTTATTTACTGCTCTGGTTGGCATTTTGAGAATCATAAAAAGTCAAATGTGAGAAAATAAGGTAGTTTTTAAAAGGTCCTTATTAGTAGACACACTTTGTTAAAAAATGATCTCATAAAGTAATTCTTACAGAGAAGACCAAAGTAGTGGTCCCTATTCCATTACTGAAATGGGATTGGTACTACTGATCAGGAATCGAGAAAAAAATCTTAAATGTAGAAGAAAAAGTCCAATTTAAGGACTAAAACTTCAAAATAGCACAATTATTCACACTAACAAAAGAAAAAAGGCTTCTTGGTTATTATGTTCTAGAGGAGATAGCAGCTTTGCCTAGTTTTAGACTGGTGCAGGGAGGTAGTTATTTTCACTTGGAACAGTTCTAACTAAACAGTATTTTTAGCAACTCCAGTGCATGCAGACTTTTATTTAAAGCATTTCCAGTTAAGATTGTAGGCTTCTGTAATTTTTGGGAAATGTGATTTTTTTTAATCCCAGTGATATTCAAGGAAGACATGACTATATTTCTTTCCTTTGCAATCCCATCAGCAGCATGTTCTAGAGCGCAAGACACACTGGGATGTTATTGCAACTAAAGGTCTTGAGATGCTTGAATATTGAAAGTTAGTCTGGTGCAGGTGCGTTTGTGTGTGTTGTAAAAAATTCATGATTTAGTAGTCATTACTCTAACTTATGCTACTTAAGAAAAATTTTTTATTTCTTTGTTTTAACTGAAAATTTATAAAAGGACCTAATAATATGAAGATGTTTTGACTCAGTGATAAAGCAATGAAATTGTAAGCCACGGTAAGGATGATGCTGTGATCTCAATATGTCATCTCGTGCTGAGCTGTCAGAGATTTGCATCGATGTTTTTTTTATTTGCTTCATGTTTGAGTGGAACTGTGCAAATCGTTCAGAGGGGCAGGGAATCTGCATTGACTGGGTTTTTCAGCTGGTTTTTATAAGAACTTTGTTGTGTAGTTGCATGTGTTTTAAATGATACTTTTGTATAAAACATATTTCTGCAGTCTTTACTCAGTCCATCCTCTGTCATTGCAACAATCAAACATCACAGGAATTATTGCTTGAATAGAATTTGAGGGTGGGTCTCTATGCTTTTGTATAACGGGTAATCATTGTATTGATCAAGGAAATTAATACAGCATGAAGATCTGTAGCATTTTTCTACACTCCTTTTTAGCTGCAGTAGACAATAATAGGGGTAATATTAGGAAATTTAGCAAGCGAATAAGAAAAAACATTATGTACTATTGAAATTTATGAACCAGCAAGATAAATGTGCAATGATTGTTTGTAGTATAGAAATGATCTTTAAGAGCTAATTCATTCATGGATCTCTCTCCCTGTATCTACTTCTATTTGGCTCTTCACAGCATGATTTCTTTTTCATAGCCTCGACAATGTAGTTTCATGTTTCAGAGATCCTATAATGAAAGTAAGGTTTGTGTTAATCAGCAACCTAATTACATGTAAAGAGCGTCTGTAAACATAACTGAACTAGTGTGGTTGTATGTTTTTCCAGTGGCATCTATTCTTGGCAATAGGCCTTATGCAATGACCTTTAGAAAGGCAAAAGTGCAACTAGCATCAAGTATTGCTGTATCTTATCTCATAGTTATAAGAAGCTGCATAAGCTTTGTGCACAGCTTGTACGCAGGGTGAAGTGCGTGCGTGCGTGTGTGCTGATTTTTCATGAGGAGAAAGCTACATTGAAGACTGTACTGGTACTGAATGGGGATTACTTGTATACAGTTCATGTGTATCATATATATACAAGTCTTTAATGGTAGTCACATCGTAGAGGAATTAAGTGTTTTGATGTACAGTGTTTCCTTTTAATAAATAAGGATCAGAATTTCATACAGAAAATCAGTATGTCATCAAATAATACATTTGTGTAGCAAATATCGTTTTATATTTAACCAACTTAAGATCCTAAAAAAAAATAATAGCTAGTGAAAGCTGTTTGGTGTATATTAATCTTTGAAATATCATTCCAGTGAGAGTATGGCTTGAGTAATGGTAAAAGATCAAACTCTTTCAGTTAAAACCTTTTTTCAAATCCATCAATATAAAACTCGAGTGGCAAAAGAAAAAGGATAACTCATTTCAATTTTATATTTTAAACTTTTAGCGTTGTTTGTTTTG